AATTTTTATTAAGAAACCAATTCACCCCCCTCTTGGTTTTTGTCCGACCACACGAACATTCCACTGCGCGATTCTAACACCATAGATTGTCGGGTTTCATGATGAGCAAAGAAAGTTCCAACACTTTGGATTTGATCAGAGGGAAACTCAGCAGCAGAAAACATATCTTCATCAGAATCTTCATTATCATCACCTTCGTTTGGAACGTCATCTTTGTGAACATAAATATCGTTGGCACGCAACATTTGGAGTTGGATTAATGTGTTGTCCAGCATGCGATTTAAGATATTCGTTCGTACTGTTTGTTCACCTTCAACATTTACTCCTTTGTATTCAAGAATGCGAGAGACAAAGAGGACATATGGAATTTTGAAGGTGGGATGACGTTTGGCTTTAAACATAGTCATGGTGACAAGAACGCCCCAATCTAAAGGCTCATTATTCATTATGACATGAATAATACGAAGATCAATTGAAGAACATTGAGCATGATTCGTAGCCTGGGAACATAGGATCCAGACAAGTAGATGTAAAATCATGCGTTCCTCCTTCTTCAAAGGTCCAGCTAGAAGGATACGCCCAATCTCCATGGAGGGGTTTCGCAGAAAAGAACGATACGCCATGATCCTGTTAAAATCATCTAACTCACCATACACGTTAATAGCATCTTCTCTAATAGGAAAGTGGGCAACATTTTCCCAAATATCATCATCAAAAATAATTGTGACACCCTTTACTCGAGAGGTAACAATTTGATCTCTAAATTTGAACCTAGAGTAAAATACCCTAACTAAGTTAGGATAATACGTACCTTGCATTTGGATGAAAGGGAGAACTCCTTGAATTTCAAGGAGATTAGGAAAGTTGAATCCCCTATTGATGAACTGCTCACCAATAAGGAACTTAGGAGAAATAATACCACGTTCCTTCCAATAGGACAGAAATTATTGTCGGCCTTCTGCATCAGAGATCCATCCTTCTACAGAATTAGGACGGGGATGAGATGAGGGTGCAGATCTTCTTCTAGTGGGGATTTTTGCACGAGAAGATGAGGTCATTGAAGGATTAGAAGAGTAACAAGATGATTTAAGAGGACAAGTTAAGTGAGAAGAAGGCAAGATTAATAAAATGAGGCAAGAAAGCTTGATTTCAAGAGATAGAAGTGAGTAGAAGTGAAATGGAGGTCCCTATTTATAACCAAGCATTTTCAACGGTCATATGAAAGTGAATAAGGGTCAAAAGAGTCGTTGGCAACGGCTAAGAATCCAAACTTGCCAGGTTTAATCGATTAAAACTCAAATTAATCGATTAAACCACTTCCAGACCCATTTAATCGATTAATTTAAGTTGTTAATCGATTAATACTAATTTTGATCGATTAATGGGCGAATTAATCGATTAATCCAGAGAGAAATGTCATGTTTTGGGTGCAAATAATCGATTATATTTCCAATTAATCGATTATTCCAGAAAATTCAACAAATTTTTGAGGTTTATACACATGATAATCTATGAGCATCCTTCATAATGAATTATAACATTACAATCATCCAAAAACTGTCTAATTAAGCAGAATTTAAGTTATTTCTAATATCCCTAAGTCTCTTCTAAGATCATAGAATCTATCCTTGGGAAGAGGTTTCATAAAAATATCTGCTAATTGATGCTTTGTATCAACGTACTCTATTTTATAGTTTCCTTTGCTGATATGATCTCTCAAAAAGTGATATTTAATCTCTATATGCTTAGTCCTAGAGTGCATTATTGGATTCTTAGTAATATACTATAATCTTCTAACTGTTGTTTTATCCACAGAATTTGAGCACAACAATTACCAGTTGCAATATATTCAGCTTCAGTGGTAGATAAAGCAACACATGCATGTTTCTTAGAATATCAAGATACTAAGGATGAACCTAACAAATGACATGTCCCACTAGTACTCTTTCTATCAATTTTCCATCCACTATAATCAGCATCAGAATATCCTATTAAACTAGTACAAGCATCAGATGGATACCATAAACTAAAACAAGTAGTTCCTTTTAAATATTTTAAAATATGTTTTACTGTAATTAGATGAGATTCTTTTGGACAAGCTTGAAATCTAGCACACACACAGACAGAATGCATAATATCAGGTCTAGTTGCAGTTAAGTATAACAGTGAACCTATCATATCTCTATACATAGATTGATTAACTTCCAAACCTGATTCATCCTTGTCTAGATAGCATGAAGTTCCCATGGGTGTGTTAGCTTCCTTTGAGGTGTCCATTCCAAACTTTTTAAGGATCTCTTTACAGTATTTGGTTTGAGAGATGAAAATGTCATCTTTAAGTTGCTTGATTTGAAGTCCAAGGAAGAATGTCAATTCTCCCATCATAGACATTTCAAACTCTCTCTGCATTATCTTAGCAAATTCTACACATAACGAATTATCAGTTGATCCAAAAATAATATCATCAGCATATACCTGGACTAATAAGATATGTTCTTTAACTTTCTTTATAAACAGAGTAGAATCAATTTTTTCTCTACAAAAATCATTTGAAATTAGGAAACTACTTAGTCTTTCATACCAAGATCTAGGAGTTTGTTTCAACCCATATAATACTTTCTTTAATTTAAAAATATGATTAGGATAACTAAAATCTTCAAATCCAGGGGTTGCTCCATATAAACTTCTTCTTTAATAAAACCATTCAAAAATGCACTCTTAACATCTATTTGATGTAATTTAAATTTCATCAAAGATGCATAAGTAAGAAGTAGGCGTATAACCTCTAACCTAGCAACAGGAGCATAAGTTTCAATATAATTTATACCTTCCTCCTAACAATAGTCTTTGACAACAAGTCTGACTTTATTCTTTTTTATATTTTTATCTTCATCAAGTTTATTTCTAAACATTCATTTGGTTCCAATAACTTGATGTGATTCTTCCCTTGGGATTAATTCTTAAACTTGATTTCTTTCAAATTGGTTAAATTCTTCTTACATTGCTATGCACCATTGGTCATCTTTAAGGTTTTATACTCGGACAAGGGTGAAGCCATTTTGGACAATGTGATATCAATTCCAGCACCGGGAAGGATTCAACTACGTTGGAACACCTTCAATCCAACATTTTCCATTGCACAAAATCTGGGTTTCTAAAGATGTGAAAGTAATCACGGATGCACATGTTATATGTGCTAGTGGCCATAGCATGCTTGCTTCTTCCCTGTTTAGACAAAATTATAAGAAAACACAAATTCATGTGCAAAACATCGAATGGGAAAGAGAGTCTAAAATATTTTCTTACTAGCATAGACACATCAAACTACCGAAAATTAACATAAAACAAATTCTCATAAAATTCAAACGGTTCAGCTTACATGAAGCAATATAGTATCTCTACTTGTACCTAGTCGCTGCATTGAGAGCGTACTAATTAATCGCGAGCACTGCAGTTTTAGAGCAAAGAGATCACCCAATTCACAACCCTGCACCTCAAAACAACACCGAACTGTTTTTGTTTTTTCTTACATATCTCAAATTGACATAATTGAGTGATATCATTTGTGCATAATTTAAGTCATGAAGCCCGCATTTTAAACGAAAATAAATATTTCTTTTGTAGGCTTACTAGCAAAAGCCCACACATATCGGTTGGTTCAGGTAATAATATAACAAAAATATATATATATATATATATATATATATATATATATATATATATATATTAAATTAAACATGCTAGAAGAACTATTTCTTTCATATTTTTAAGCTAAAGTCAGTCAAATTAAAATAAATATTGATTTATCAAACTTTATAAACTGAAAATGAAACGGAGGACCAACCTCAACGTGTATCGATAGTAGTGGCGGCTGCAACCTGGACCGGTCGCGGTGGTGAGAGGAGGCGCGATGGCGGCGTGTCGTGAGAGAGAGAGGAGGCGTGGCTGTGGCTGAGAAGGAGGACGTGGCGGAGAAGAAAAGATGACGCTGGAGAAGAAAGAAAAAGAAAAAAAATATCAAACAAAATAGGTAGGGATGGCACCCCGGCGGCGGGCTGGGATAGCCCGATATAGTCAAGAGACGATTGGTGGGCTTGGGACTCATAATTTAGAAAAATATAATTTTTTTAAAATAAATTTTTTTAATAAATTTAATAATAAAATTATTATTTATTTGTGAATAATTTAATATATATATATATATATTATTTTAATTTAATAATATAATTATAATTTATAACAATAATAAAATTTACATAATAATAAATAATAACAAATATATATATATATATATAAATACCGTTAAACTTATAAAATTTATATTTTTTATATTAAAAAATTTAAATATTTATATTTTTTTTATTTGATAAAACTTCATGTTATTCTTGGTTGAGTAATTCTTACACCTTTAATTCAAGTAATAAGGATAAAAATAATCAGTCTTAGGATAAACAAGGAGAACAGGAGAGAAGATTATGTTTCAGGAAGGAGAATATTTTCCGTGAGAATGAAACTTTTTTAATTCTCTTTTTAAAATTTTTAACTTTATATATTATCTTTATAATTAATTTTATTATAATAAAAAATTATTTTTTTATTAATTAGGCGGGTCGTCAGCTGGCCCGTCCCATCCCATGAGTTAGCCCGATGAGTTGACGGCTTGGGGGCCGGCCAAAATGGGCTGATGGGCTGAAAACACCAACCTATTTTGCCATATTATGGTGGGCTGATGGACCGGTCCACCGGCCTAGCCCGTTTTGTCATCCCTAAAAATAAGGGAAGAAGGAGAGATGGTAGGTTTAGGTATGTTATTACACGAGTGCGGGTAAACCCGCATATTAAATACGTAGGTCTTACGGGCGGGCTTATTTTTACTTATTTTCTATATATTAACAAGTACGGTTAATTTTACTCATGGTTTTATAAGTTTGAAAAGATGAGCCCACTGGGTCCGAGGATCCGAGCCCGTTTGCCCACCCGAAATAAATAAACATCCCACTATGTTCAGTTGGATTTATTCCTCAGATTGTGTTTTCTCCTCCTTCACCTTCAACTCTGTCTCTCGCCCGCAGGTATCTCTGTCTGTGTTACGAATATTTCTTTCAGTTAAATTTCCGAGTTCTTTCTTGTCTTTTGACATATACCTTCACATGCATGCTTCGTTTCCGCTCTTGGACTTGTATCTTCCATTTTAACCTTTAGATGTCTAGGTAAAACCAATGGCGGGAAAAGGAGGGAAGGGACTTCTTGCAGCGAAAACCACGGCGGCCAGCAAGGATAAAGACAAAGATAAAGACAAGAAACGACCTATTTCTCGCTCATCTCGTGCAGGAATCCAGGTTTTATTTTCCCTTTCTTTCTTCTAAGTTTTTTACTTTTCCCTATTTTCCATTTTTGAAACCTTCTGGCCACTCTATTTTTTCGCTCTTTCTTTACTTTGTTTTGCATAAAGCACACAGGGTAGGAGCTATGGATATGAAATTTTCTGATTCACCACATACAAAGTATGAATCTTTCCTAGTTTTGCGTGTGGAGAATTTTATACAACAAATTTACACCCACAAAAAATTTATATATATATATATATATATATATATATATATATATATATATATATATATATGTATATATATATATATATATATATATATATATATATATATATATATACATATATTTAAAATATATAATTTTGTTTGTCAGACCTTGGATTTGTTATAGTTGTTAGGTATGTTGTCCTTTGTACATGAGTCTATCCATCATGGTTTTAGAAAGTTGGTACACTCGTTCAGATACATACATAAGTTGAAATTTATTCTGAGTTTTTAGGTTTTAGGCTAACATTTATGTGAAGTTTACTTCAAATTTTCTTTTGTGCATGAAGTTTTGTGAAGTTTGTTACCTTCTACTGTAACAAATCTAAACACCACACTTATTTTGACATTTGATTTGTTGAAAATGTAATTTTTTTCATACTATGTGTGTATCCATATGTATTTTTATATATTTTTGTAACTTGGTTATTTGTTTGGAAATATAGTTTCCTGTCGGTCGTATCCATAGACAGCTGAAACAAAGGGTCCAGGCCAATGGACGTGTTGGGGCTACTGCTGCTGTATACTTGGCCTCAATTCTTGAGTATCTGACTGCTGAGGTTCTTGAACTGGCTGGGAATGCAAGTAAGGATCTTAAGGTGAAGAGGATAACACCAAGGCATTTGCAGCTGGCTATCAGGGGAGATGAGGAGCTGGACACCCTTATCAAAGGGACCATCGCTGGTGGTGGTGTCATTCCTCACATTCACAAGTCCTTGATCAACAAAACCGCAAAGGAGTAAAGTGGCTCCTCATTGCATATTGCCCTTTACTGAAGCTAGGATGTGTTTATTGTGAATTGATCACAGTAGGATAGTATTATTTCTAAGATAGTTTTAGAACTGAGGTGGTAGTGTGTAAATGGTTTGCTAGACAATGCTTTCTTTAACTGTTTAAGTTGTCTCTGTTAGAGCTTTAACCATGGTGGATCGCTAGACAATGCTTGCTTTTAGATACAATCTGTGATTTGTTGTCTCGGTTGGCCATTTCACCCCTTTATATGTGGTTGTTTGAATTTTGTGTTTGCAAACTTGTTCTAAGATGGAAGAAAGATGTTTAGGCTATGCAAGTTTTAATTATTAGTTAAAATCATCTTCGAAGGTACAAAATCAAACTTCCTGTTAGTGTGTAAGACAAATTTGATAGGGCAGCCTCTACTCTGCTGTCTCTTGAACGGCATGTTTTTGTGTCTGAATATTTTTGTAAAAGACTATTGTAGTTGGGGTATTGAGATTTTAAATTTCTTCCGAAGAATATATTTGTTTACCGTGTACTATCTTCTCTAAACAATTTTTTTTTTCATATGCACTCATCAGAATACGGATTAAACTTCTGTTTACTGAGTACAAAATTATTAATATTTTACTCATCAAAATAACGCACTTGAGATCTGTTTCCACTAGTGTACAGTCTGCAGAGCTGCATCCTGCTTATAGTAGATGTTCGATTAACTTGGTTTGAAACAGACACGATTATTATATTTTTGTGGACTTGAAATTAAAATCTTTAATTAAATTAACAGTTACTATCACTTCATCTACACATTAGTGATAGAAATAAAATGATTGATAGTTATTTTACATGTTATATTTATATTTTGGTGTAAGTGAAGGATATTGAGGGAATATTTTCAACTACTAGAACTAATATATGAAATTAGTGGAATTTTCTGAGGACTAAAAGTTGATGAGTGTTTAATTGGTACACTTCAGTCAGTGAGAGAATAAACAGACACTCAATAAGAATGGTGGGATTCAATTCTTGTATTAAGTTTCATTGCCATTTCTCTTCCCGTATTCCTCATCCCTTTCCTAGAACCTATTAGGGTCACTCAAAATTCCCACTTGGAAATCCTCCCACCGAACTTACAAGGAGAGTCATCATGACTAATGGCATGCGCAGGTTTTAATCTTGTCCTTCAAAGGTGAGTATTGACTAAAAGATAACTGAAACCAAATTCGCTACATGTTGAGAAGTGAATCTTCTCTTTCAAACTTACTTCTAATGACCACCCTCCACTGATATCAGAAATACAATTTTCTGATAGTTTTCTAGTATGATATTATTAAAAGGGCACTCGCTATTTATCACTTTTAAAAGAAACGTGCTGTTATTAAAAGATCCTATATAGATAAGTCACAATGTGTGATTATTTTATTGTGTATTAAGAAAATTACGTGAAGTAACAAAGCCCGTAAAATGATACGTACAAACTATATATTTACGCAATGTTCACAATTATTTCATTTATGACCAAAGGACGATGTAGGTAAAAAGTAAGTAATACTTCAATTTTTAAATAATAGTCTTACCGTTATTTATTTTTTAAAATAATAATAAGTTTAAACTCTACCAACAACCCCTGTAATATAATTGATTATATGAACAATAGATTCAGTAGCACTTGCGTTAAAAGAGACAGAAAAGTAGTTAAATGGTTGAGAAGTTCCTAGCTAGAATTTTATTATCAGTATTCTAACCTTAAAATACTAGTATTCTAATCAGAGAAGTCTAAAGTATGAAACACACACGATACCACTATCCCCTAATGAGGAGCATAACCTTTGTGTGAAGATGCTTTTCATGCACTATGCTTTCTTTATATAAAAAGCCTTTCTCATTCCTCAATCCCCTTGCTTTCTCTCACTCAATTTAAATTCCAAAGAACACCCACAAATGGATGCAAAATTGTTTGCACAGTGCAGGGGTCCAACTCTAACTTCAGCTCATTGGAAACCAAAACGCCCTTGTGTTGTTGCAGTGCTGGCAAGGCCTGCTGATGACATTTCAGGAGAAACAAGAAAAACTAACGTGTACAAAGATACCTTCTTCGATGACATAGCCATAAACCACATGTCAAAATGCATTCAAAAGGCAACAGGTTCGGGAGTTATCTTCCCTTTTGATCAACTCATACCCTTCAAGGAGTTTGTAAGTATTTTTCATTTTTCTTCATTTTGATTCTATGTATGTATATGCAGGACTCAGAAACAGTAAGAGTGGGTATGAGAGCCTAGTAGAGGCAGCTACCATGGCTTCACAGAATTTTAGTCCTACACAACAGCATCAAGTTGTCATTCACGCACTTCATACAGCCTTCCCCAAGCCAATGCTTTTATTGGTGAGTTCTTCATCCCTTTCTTCCCATAAGAAATACAAATGCAAAGATGGAAATAGGAGGGAAGAAAATATAAGTCTGTAACTGTTTTGTCGAATAAAATAAAGAAATTTTAAAAATAAAGAGATATCTCTTTGTATTTTCTTATTGAAAATCTTTAGTTTTGGTTTTAGTTTTCACCTTTTCAGTTCATGATCCTATTTCTTTGCTATACAACAAACGGACGGTGTTGTGAACTGAGTTTCTCCATCTTTTCTTTTCCTTCTCCCATGGTTGGTGTCTTTCACGGTGACACCTCCCACTTGCATTTGCTTCGCATGATGGGAAAGTGAAGAATAATGAAACATATACAGCGTACATTTGTCTATGAAGGACCGGTGCTTGAGTTCACTTTTCCTTCTTCCAATTCCACAATTTACTATATAAACTATTCTTATATATGTTATAACCGAAGAAATTTATACCATTTAGAGTTGAATTAAGGATATATTTTTTTTCTTCTTTAATCTTCCAACAATAAAAAAAATATTTTTTTATTTTAATAAATTGAGATATATTATAGTTAATTAAAAGTTTTAACCTGTTTTTGAACAGTTCCTTACTCTCTGAAATTAAGTTATATTTATTGAAATGTCTGAGCATATATTGATGATATATGGTAACGAGGAATGACTAAAAGTTGTTATTATGCATGAGGAATGCAGATAAAGATAATGTTACCACCGTCCAAGTTGACAAGGACATTGTTTGCCATCTTCACCACTTTGTTCTTTGCATGGTTAATTGGCCCCTCTGAGGTAATAAGCAACCCGAATTATAAATACTTCAATCATAAACACTTGCTACATGCATGCCAATATTCCATTATAATTTATAACATATATACAACAACACATTTTTGGAGAATAACTATGAAAACTGGTTTTAAATCTCCAATTAAGTGTTAGTTTCATGATAAAATCATGTTATATATGATTTTTAAATTACTTATTATATGACCCAATAACTTATCAATACATTCTAATTAAATATAGCTTAATTATAATTTTAATCCCTATATTTTACCAAATTCTCAATTTCGATTCATAAATTCTTTTTTGTAATTTTAGTCACTTATTTTTTTTTATCTATGATTTTGGTTCTCAATTGATTTTATGCAAATTTCATTCCTTAATTTTAATAATCTCTAATATTGTTTAATTTTAATTTAATTATCTATGATTTTCTTTTGTTCTTTTCACATGATACATTGAGACCGGAAGAAAAAGTATTATATTCATGACTTTTTTTTTTTACAATATCTAAAAATATTCTATATAATTAAGGAATTAAAATCGTGTTAGAAAAACAATTATAAAAAATTGTGAATGATTAAAAAGTAAAGGAAGAAAATTACAATAAAAAAAGTTAGGATCAAACTTACAGATTTTATAAATATAAATACCAAATTATAATATATTTTTTTAATTATGTTCAGTTCTAATATAGGACGATTTTAATTTTTTTTCTTTAAATTAAAAAAACTTTAGTCTCTAAAAATTGAAAAAAAAAGCTTTAAATTCTTAAACATTAAATTTGAATGAATAACATAAGTTTCTGAAAACTGTTTTAATTTCTTTAAATTTTAATATTTAAAAACAAATATTATATATTATAAAATTTGAAGGACTAGTTTTTTTTAAAGACAATAAGGCTTTAGTCTAAATTTTAGATTTAAAACACAACTAAATTTAAAATATTTTTTTTACTTATTTTAATTGTACTCATATATATATATATATATATATATATATATATATATATATATATATAATATAAGAGCTCTTTTTTATTGCGAATTCGTTTTCATATACAAATTATGAGAATAATTTCTATACATTAAATTTATTTATTATTATATATATTATTATCTTTAAAATTAAATTATGTTATATTTCTATTAAATTTATAACCACTACTATTATTTTTAAAATTATATTTATTATTATTAATATGAGTATGTTATTATTTTTAAATTCAAATAAATCATATATTTTATTTTAAGTTATATCAAATCGTATTATATATAAAATATTATTTTTATAATAATAATTCAATTATCAAATTAATTATTATTATTATTATTAAAATTTATATTAATAAACTTATAAAAATAGAACGAAAAAGAAGTAAACTAATACGATTACATAATTTTGTATGGAAAAATTTACTTTGAAGGTTTATTAAAATCAAAAGTCTAACACCTCTCTTTCACTTTACATTTGTATCTATATCCCAGTAATACCATTTTATTTTTATCTTCCTATGTATTATTAAATATATACAGTGATGAATTGGTGAATATATAATGATTCAAAATTATAAAACATGGTCAATTTTAAAAAATATTGATCATTAAATTAATTTTATTATATCAATAAGCATTGAACATATCTATTAAAGAGTTTATAATAACTCACTCATCCAATTCAACAGACTAAGTTAGACTCCTTTTACTATCACTTTCCTATATGTTACTTTAATAAAGATCAAATTAAAATTGTAACTTAAATTTTTATTATAATAAGAATTAGTTTTATTACTAATTTTTTTTATAAAATACTATTGAATATGTATATTTTGTTTAATTCGGACAAATGATAAATGAAATATAGATTAATTTCTTTTCATGTAGTGCAACTTTGTCTTGTATGAATATATTTTGGAAACTTCACTTTGACTAATTATATGCATAGCCAATAAAATTAAAAATTAAAAATACATTAATGATTAGAAAGGTTAAAAAATAAAGTTAATAAAAATATGTTTTACTAGTGTTAAGAGTAATTTAAAAAAAAATATACCCTCTAATTAAAAAAGATAAATGAAAAAATATAATTTTTTATTTTTATTAGAATCAATCTATAATTTTATAAATTTAATAAATAACGCATAAAATACATCAAGATCTTAAACTGCTTGAGAGTTTATCTTTATTTTGTATGGAGTATTTTAGTAACCTTGTTTTAACTATTATCATGCATAGTTGATACAAAAATAAAAAAAATAAATACCTTAATTATTAATAAGAGACATTAACAGAATTTAAATTGAACAAATTATTTGAAAAATAATAAAAACATAAATAACTAATGTCAATTGTAATTATAGAAATAAAATTATGAATTTAACATAAATCCAATGCTATTATTAGTGAACTTATTTAATTTTAAATTTTGATAAATTAAGTAATGAAGTCTTATAAAAAGACAAGAGAAAGTATTAGTAAATTTGTATTTTTAAGATTTTGTTTTCTATCAAATTAGTTTGTTAGATAATTATTTTATGTGACTATATTAGTTGCTTTGTAAAAAACTAATAATATATATATATATATATATATATATATATATATATATATATATATATATATATGCAAGCAATGTATCCTTTTACCTCTAAGCCTATGCTTTGTTGATGAATTCACGACGTGATGTGAAGGTGAGAGAATCGGACATGGAAGGCGGAAGACGAGAAAAAAATGTAGTCCACATAAAAAAATGCAGGTCAATTCATGTTTTTGTATATTTTATAATAATAAGTTTAGTCATAGTTATATATTATTACTATTAAATAAAGCAAAAATGCGATATTTAATGAAAAAAAACACAAATGTATTAATAAGAAAGAACATGAGTTTTATTTAAGAGTAAATATTGAAATTTATAATTTAAAAAGTGAATATATGCAGGTTCTTAGAAGAGGCAAATTGTGTAGGAATGTGTATCAATCTTTGCAAACTCCCAACTCAATCATTTTTGAAGGATAGTCTGGGTATGTCAGTCAACATGGTCCCTAGTAAGTATCCTCAACTACTATTACATACACCAACTTAATTTACAATATTCAATATTCAAAATATCTTATGGTAATTTTAATTGAATAATAAATTTAATATTTTATTCGAAATGTAATCGGAAAAAGACTTATATCTTATTTTTATAATATAATATCTTATTTTTATAATATAATATCTTATTTATTTTTTAGAATCAATTTCAACATTTAATATCTTTTTTATTTTTTATTTTCCAAATCTATTTAAACATTTATTTTGTAAATAAAATCAGATTTGATATTATCTTGAACCTACTTCAAGAAGTTTCATATATATTATATATATTGGAGAATACTAAAAAAATTATACTTCGAATATTTGATGAAAGAATGATGTCACTATTGAAAATATACATCTCTTATATTATTTAATGAAAAATATGGTGTGATTTTTATTGTTTATACTGATAAATGTTATAAATACGTTGTTATACCGGTATAAATGTAATTTTACTTTTTAAATAATAATAAAATAAACTAAATATATTATTCTTTTAAGAAATTTGTTAGTTTTAATATGTCACATATATTACTTGCTAATTTAATATAAATTAGATATGATTTCACAATACTAAGAGAGGTTATTTAAAAAGAATATATAACATATGTATCTTTTATTTTTGAAAATAAAAGAATGACTTTTTTATTGTAAAACTGTAGATAATTATCAATGTATTAATTGTTAATTATCTTCTCTATCTTACTTTATTCTAAACTTTATTAACGATCATGCAGACGAATATTAATGATATAAGTTAGAATTTTAAATATATTTGTGTCATTTTTTTTTTAACTTAGTATATTGAAAGGTAAAAAATTAATTAATGTGATAGAAATAATATCATTTTCTTTTAGACAGGTTTTAGATTCTCAATTTTTTTCCATCTTCCCTAAAAATGTAAAATTAAAAGACTAGGGATGGAAAAAAAGTTTTAATTAATTAATATGCATATCTATTTCTAAAATATGAATATTAAATAAATATTCATAATAATAATAATGAATACAAATATTTTAATAAATAAAAATAAATATGGATATAATTTCTATTTAATTTTTAAAATTAGAATTGTTAAAATAAATTTTTTTGATAAAAAATATTAATTATTTAAAAATTATTTATAATTTAAATTTATAAATTTATGTTTTTATATCTAACTTTGTGAAATTTAATTATTTAGATTAATATTAATATTATTTAAATTTATATTTTGTTACACAACTTATTTAAATTAGTATTTTATAAAATTTAATTTATATTATATTAATATTTTATCATATAATTATTTTTTTAAATTACATTTTAAGATAAAAAAATTTAAAGTATATTATATATATATATATATATATATATATATATATATATATATATATATATATAGTAAAAGAAAATAAAAAGTATTCGGTACCATGATACGTGGGGTTATAAAAAAAATTGTAGATTTTTTTGGAACAA